AACATCCATAATACATTAAATATTAATTTTACTATAAAAAAAATTTGAAGATAAAAATGTTAAACATAGTGGGGAGGTTTTACCAATTATGTTGGAATACTCCACCAAAAATTTAAAAAAATGAGAAGCTCGGTGGCGCTGTTTGTCGTCGGATTAAGACGAACTGTGGAGACCCACATCACCACAAGAACGCAACTTTCGTCACTGCTTAACTCAATGCACCAGCCGGGAATCGAACCCGGGTCTGTACCGTGGCAGGGTACTATTCTACCACTAGACCACTGGTGCTTCTTGTTCTCAACCACTGAATTTCTAATACTTCATAAGAGGCTTATTACCAAAAGTTCTCTAAATCAATGGACATATTATAATATCAAAATATTATCAAGATGGACCTGTCCTATCAAGAAATTTAGGAGAATTATCATTGTATTATTTAAATTACTACTAATGAAAGCTCAATATAATCAAGTTTTACGGTAAAATATTTTAATAGATGAAATCAAATTAAGTCAAATATTATTGACAAATTATTATCAAATAGTGATAAAAGAAGAATGTTTTTTTTTTTTTTTTTTTTTTTTAAACAACAACTTAATGCATTAAATTCGAAAGAAGACAATCAACAAGATAAAGGGGAGGATCATCAAACCACTCTCCGCAACCTGACATAGAAAAGACTTCCCGAGCTACAGCGTGAACAGCACGATTCGCAAATCGCTTAGCAAAATAGAAAACTACATTATTTATAGTGGATGCAACTTCTTTTACATAAGCAATAATAAAAACCAAAAGCCGAAGTAAAAGAGTTCGAACATAAATCAAAATAAAGAAACTTTATCTTTTTTTTTAATGCTAGTGGCTCTATTACAATGTACTATCTGTTCATATACTTTCTCAGCCTACTGAAACACAAAGAACCAATAACTTTATCTTATTATACGACTTTTAAGACTTTTGTAAAAAGTAGAAGTGACTTTGTAATAATCTCATAAGACATATCTTCTATGTTTTTTTTTCTTATATATGATATTAAATAATAGAATTTTTATATACACGTCAAAATAAGATTCATGCAAGAATGATAGCATAAATGAATACTTTTGAAATTCTTTTTAGGCGCAAAAAAGAGAAGTATTCAATCAAAAAGAACAAACAAATGAAATTGAACCCAAGTTCATATACCATATTGATAGCCTACTATTCTACCACTAGACAACTCATGCTTAATGTTTCATTGTACTTAATTAATTTTGATTATCAAACTTCATCTACTTTTGTTATTCTATCCTTAAATGATAAAATGTTTATGTTCAACATATATTGTGTGTGGGGGATATAATCGAATGAGAATAGAGTCCTCATGCAAAAGGTAATGATTGATCTCAATCATTCATCAAGGTTTATTAATTATTGAAGAAATAATAAAGTGTTTATATTCAAATTAAGCACAAACTTAAAAGATTTAACATTTTATTTTTGTGTGCCCACAAAATATTTTATCTTATATCATATATCAGATTTTCAGCATTAATACAATATACTTTAAATTGTCTATGTGCAAAGCTTCATTTATGTATTCTTTATCAGATTTGATTGGTGAATTCTATCTTTGTTGCATCCTCTGCAAACAAATAAACCAAATCATAATAGAGACTTGGGAGGGCATATAGGTGTATATTCCATCTTCTCTATATGGCTAGTAACCTCTTTGTGAATGTTATGAGTCCTCATGTATCAAACACAAATATACTTATTAATTTATTAGAATACTAGTTTTTTACGCGCATTGCGCGATTGGGATAATGGCCAATGTTTTTTTTTTTTTTTAAATAAGTACTTTAAAGTATATTAAGAATTTGCGTATTTATATAGCTAATTCTTCTCCCAAAGGTTGAGTCCCAACCCCAAGGGCCCCCCCACACTCCGACCCGACAGAGCATTGTGGGAAGTTGTAAATCACGGTGACTGAATGGTTCAGCAGACAGGACCAAATGCCGGTGCGAACAAGGAATCTACCCACTTTGGACATAATTCCCGCACTGCCGCCGCCGAGGTTCAAACCTTGGTCTCTTCTCCCAAATACTGCCCACTAAACCATTGAGCTAAGCCCGTGCGGGTTAAATAGGTAATTTTAAGTTTACAAATGCAAGATAATATAGTCAAGATTGATTATAATTGTCAATAAAATAATTGTATAGGTATGGTTGAAACCAAATACGGGACATAAGGGAGAACAAATAAAAATTAGAGCATAAAATATTAAATATATACTAATATTGTTTGAGGAGATTTCAACATTAGGATTTGTGGTTAAGTTCTATTAAGACTTTAATATTAGAATTAGATTAATGGTGTAATTATAATTCTATATTAGACGTTAATATTCGAATTAGACTAACGGTGAATTAACTGTATTTAACGGAAAAGTTAAATGGATAATCATATAATTAAGGATAAATTAGAAAAACTTTTTTAAAAAAATAAAACCTCAACAATTTGAACCATTCATTTGATTTAATAATTTGGCGGTCATTTTTTCTACCAAATGTTAATAATTAAATAAATTCGTTGGTCAAATCCGCTAATATAATCCGCTAACTGCGGATTGTCAAACAAGGACATTGCAAGGTAGTTCTCACTTCAATTTGTTGTGTGATTTGAATACTCTCTGTCACAAAATCTCTCAAGTAGTTAATATAGTTGGCTTTATTAATTATATTTTTTTAATTTTTTCATGGTATTAATAAAATACTTGGTAAATAAATATATAGCATTATTTTGTATTATAACTTTGATATTTAATTAGAAAAATAGTGCACAAAAAAAGATAATAGACAGTGTAGTGAATATAATCAATTGATGAATTTGAATGTAAAAATTTTTACATTTGAGAAAAATAAAGACAATATAACTAATGAAAATATTTCTCTTAATTAATTTATTGATAATGAATATTTTTTTTTCACTGAATTAAGACATTGTAAGGACAATGTAGCAAATGTAATCAATTAATAAATTTGAATATAAAGAATTTTTATATTGTAGAAAAATAAAGACAATATAACTAATACAATTATTTCTCTTATTTAATTTATTGATAATGAATAATTTTTTTTAATAAAGGCATTATGGACACATAATTCTAAATTAAAGAAATGCATATCGATAATTTTTTGTTGTAGCTACTAAATTATTATTTATATAATTTAATAAGAGTAAAATAGAGTACTAATTATGTCAACTTTGATTGGGATGAGGTTCGAACCTAAGTCCTTTTTTTTTTTTATTGAAATCAATAAGTTAACGGTGAATTAACGGCAATTCTTAAAATTTTAACGGAATTAGTAACGGTGTATGGGTATTTTAGGAAATTTTAGTGTAAAATTTAAATCTTATCAATCTTTTAATAAATCTGAGCCATTCATTTGATTAAAATCTGTGACCGCCATTTTTTCTACCCATTATAGGTCTAACTCTCTTGGGCGCTTATTAGTATAGTAGATTTAAAATTGAAAAGCCATTTCTTTTTAAAATTTATCATGAACCTTATAAGTGGAGGTAATACAAATCTAAAGGGACTAAAGAAGTGTTCGTTTAAAAGACTTGGTTGTGTAAATAATTTAAAAAGTTTTCTACAAAGTATTTTTTAAAAATAAATTTTCAATCTTTAACGTACTCTTTTGCCTAATTGATAGCTAGGGCTAGAGATTGATGGCGAATTGGAGATGCTAGTAAATATTGATAAATAAAAAAAAAAATATTAATGCCGATGAGATACAAAGACAATAATTGTGATAAATTTCCTTTCACACTCATTCTTGATTGTGTTAAGATTAGAAATAAGTATCATAAAACAAAATTAAAGATTGATGGTTACACATATTCTTTAAAATAATGACAAATTTATTTCAATTAAATATTTAAAAATTTAATAAGATCAAATTTACCATTTTAACAACGCCACAAAATATGATTGATTACATAATACTTATACCTCCACAATACAGTACATATTAAATATTTACTATAAAATAATTTGAAGATAAAAAATGTCAACCCTATTGGGGAGATTTTACTAATTACGTGGTAATGATCCAGCACCAAAAAAAAAAAAAAAGGAATTCAGAGGCGCTGATTATCGTCCATACCGTGGCAGGGTACTATTCTACCACTAGACCACTGGTGCATCTTTGTATGAAAGACTGAATTAATCTTAATTATCTGATTGGAGTGGAGTATTACCGAGAATTGTTTGGACCAATGGAGGAAGTATTATCAAAATATTATCAAGAAATTCATGAGTATTATCATTGTATTATTTGGATTAGTACTAATGAAAACTCAATATATACGAAAAAAGATTTTAAAAGATGAAATCAAATTCACCCAAAGATACAAATTATTATCAAATGGTAACGAAAGTGACAAAAAAGAATGTTTTATCATCAAGAATGCAAGAGATAAAATAAAGAGTTTTTATTGAGACTTTATCTTATTGTACTAAGCTCTTATCTTATTGTACTACTTTTAAGACTTGTGTAAAAAGTAGTAGTTGCTAACTATTTATCTTATATATAGAGGGGTCTCCTCGCCCAAAGAAGATGAGGTAGTAGCGATCCGCGAGGCTTTGAGTAGGTTGAAACAAAACAACTTTGATAAAGTACAAGTTGAGATAGACTTACTACTTGTGATCCAAAGTCTTAACAATATTGCAAGAGTCTCTTCCTTTCATCGTGTTCTTAATGACATCAAAAACTTGTTGAATGACTTTACTCATGTAAATTTATCGTTTTCCAAATGATCAATGAATCGAGCAGCTCATATGTTAGCTAGGCAGTCCATTTCTATGTCTGATTGTTCAGAGTGATTTTCAAACCCTCCACCCTTCCTTTGTAATGTGATCCTTTCAGAAATGACTTAATGCACTGATTTTCTTTCAAAAAAGAAATATTTATCTTATTATACTACTTTGAAGACTATTACTGTGTATACAAAAATTTGTACATATTTAGCATTAGCCTACAGAATAGAGACCCTCTCTTTAGTCTTCAGTCTTCACCAATCAATTTTGGAAGTACAATGACCCTTCAAATGTTGTTACATCTGAAACAAATCCAAAATCATACATTAAGCCTTTGCTTGCCACTGAACAAAAAGTTGTGGAAAAAATTGAACCATCAAGATCAAGACCTCTTAGCAATAATCACAATTCAAGCGAATATAATATCCAGTGTCATACAATCACCAAAACTTACTATTCTCGACTTTATCGAGATAAAATGAGACGAGCAGCAAAGGCTCCATCAACTGCATGCTTGACAGGATTCGAGGCATAGAAACCCTTTCTGGTCACAAATTCTGAGGGAACGTATTTGTCTACTGGATCAATGTAGAACTCCTGCCACGAAAATGATATCGGGATCAAATTTTTACGTAAATGATTCTTCAACTCTGTATATATCTAACTGTTTAGCAAAGTCCTAAATCCTCCAACGTTTTTGTATTCAAACTAAACTGAATAATTTCTCAGTATATGGCAAGTGCACTTACTGGATGCCTCAGAAGAAAAGCTTCAACTCTTTCTTCATTCTCTTCCGGATCAATGGAGCAAGTGCTGTATATTAGCGCTCCACCTGGCCTCACCAACCTGCAGATATTAGAAAAAACATTATATTATATAATTATAAATTTATTCTTTACGAAATCTTGGTGACAATTGTAATCTCACGTCGAAGCTGAATCAAGAAGTTCATCTTGTAAATTCTTAAGTTGTTCCATATCCTCGAGTCGTCTATTCCAACGTAAATCTGCTCGCTTTGACAACCAAAGAAGACATGCGTTTTATATATTCAATCATGGTCATTCTCAGATACAAAGGACGAACATTATAAGTAGATAAAATACACTTTATAGATCAAGATAGGGAGAGAAAAGGAAATTCAGTGGTGCAACGAAGGTACCTTAGAAAGAACTCCCAATCCTGAACAAGGAGCATCTAGCAAAACTTTGTCAGATTTGACAGCATTACTGCCCTATAATAAATTCAACGAGGAAAAGTGGTATAAGAGATTCAGCACAAACTCACTAACTATAATCAAACTCATAAATTCTTACAGAAAATTTACGAAGATCAGCATGAACAGTTGTGATGACATCGATAGTTTCATGCAATCTTGCTGTCTCTTTGAGGATCCTTAATCGGCCTTTATTTATGTCGACTGCAAACACCATGCCTGAATAAAATCGAAGGTGAAGAACCCATCTGAATGCTCTATTCTATGTATTTATAGTTGTTACTAAACTTTTTTTCGTTAAAGCATGTGATTTACCTTGGCCTCTCAAGCGGGATGCCATGAAAAGGGTTTTTCCTCCCGGAGCAGCACAACAATCAATAATGCTCTCACCAGGTTTTGGATCAACAATAGAAACCACCAACCCTGCAAAAATTCTCACATATAAGAGAGACATGTAAAGCATTTTGGTTTGAGAATCAACAAAATGATGTTTTATATAGTGTCATAGAATTACAGAAATAAGACACTGAACAGTGAAACACATTTGAAACATGTTGTCCACTACAAAACCAAAAATTTGCAACAAGTCTTTACCTGCACTCTCATCCTGGACCGAACAAAAGCCTTCTTTTAGTAAACCACCTTGAATGACATTCTGGGAGAAGGATATACATAAGAAAATAATTAAACTGAGAGATCTATATCAATGACCCGTAGGAGTGTGTACTAGTAAATAGATGCTTTAAAGAACCATATCAACTTATACCTGCATTCCTGTTTTGATACGAACAAAATCGTCCAAGTAGGGAGAAGGCTCATGTTGAACCTGAAGTTAGGAACAGAAAACATCAGTTATTCTTTATACATGAAGCCTTCTGCCTTTTGAACCAAAGTAAGAAAGCATGAAAACCGGAAATAGAAAAGAAAAGGTACAAGTGATAGTGTGATGAGTAAAAACTAAAGCTCGAAAAGCACTTAAGGACCTTCAACATTGTAAGGCGTGTCACAAGGTCATCCCTTGTTAAACCTTTTCCAGTATTTGCCCTGATATTGATAGCATTAAGACATTAAACACCAATTTAGGGAAAGGAAAGAATGAAAATTACCATAAAAGGAGAGAAAAAACTATAAACCTGAGGCTGAAACTTGGATCGTTGTTGTTCCATACCATCAGCTTAATAGCTTCTTCAAGTCCAAAATATTTTGTCCATCGTCTCACCATCCACTGAATTAAATGATATACATTGTATTGCCATATCATAACAATGAGAAAACTCAAATTATAGTAGAAGAGAAAAATGAGAGCAAGTTTCAACATACAACTGGGTGAGAGTAAAGAGTGCTGAGAGCACGCGCTTGCTGGCGATCGTTACCTTCAATTTTCACTTCAGGAAGGGAATCATTTTCCTGTAGAGGAACGAAACACAAGTCAACTCATAAAAATCTTAGCAACACCCGATGTGCTTTTTATGGAAAGGAAGATGACACACCTTAAGAAAGACTAGCTTCCTTAGAATCCCATTTACCATGTTACCAGCACCAGGTCTGAGAGCAAATTTTGCAAGCTTAACATTCTGCACTTGTGTTGAAAGAACCACAAAAGAGGAATAAGGTTACCGATAAAAATTATAAAGCAATACATAGGTTGTGTGTCCATATTTCACTTATCCCAAAAGACAAGAAATAGATTCCAGTCACCAATTAACATACCTCATCTACCACTGCATAAGGTGGCATTTCTAATTTGACGATCTCATAGAAACCAATTCGAAGAATCTGACAAGAATTGCACAGAAGTAAAATTAGTTTAGCTTTTAAAATCATAAAGAAAGATAAGAATAGAAGCCTGTGAATTTGATACTGGAACAGCGCAACTCAAATATAATTGAAGTTGCCACAAGAATGCTGCATTTTAGCAATGCAATTTCTAGCACTTCCAACAGAAATGTTATGCAATCATGTTTCGAACACTTAAATGATAGAACCTAATAGATTCATAGAGTAATATCCTGCAAAGAGGAAAATGTACCTGTAGCAAAAGAGGCTCCATGCCTCTGAATGTATTCTCATCATGGCACAGTGAAAGAATCAAATAATCAAGGTATCTCCTCCAGCGAATGGTACCTCCAACAATCTCTGTTACCTAAAAGAAGGGCCAAGATCAAGGCAATAACTTGAGATAATGCAGGTTTTTTTTCTAGAGAAATACCAATGAAGAGAAAGAGAAAGAGTTTAGTCAGTTTACCAGTCTTAAATCTCTATCATCTAACTCGCGAGTGCAAAACCCAAGAGTCCTTTCAACATATCCCATTTCACTTTTCCCTGAACCCTTCCCTTGCTCATTCAAAAGGTCAGCAAAAGCACCACCAAATTCTATACGCATCAATCTCACAGCAGAGACTGCACCAAGTACACAATATAAAAAATAAAAGTTAAGTTTCAAACAATTAAACTATAAAAGCAAAAGTAACAACAACCAAGCAGACTACTTGAAAGAAACATTAACAGAAAGTGAAAAACAATTAGCCAATTAGAAGCAGTAAATAGGTACCTACCAGCTCTATGAGGAGAAACTTCCTTCTGAATTCTGCTCGAATCTCTCGGAGGCCCTTCATTTGAAAATGTCCATTTGTGAACCAAAAAAAAAAAAAAAAAAATCCTTTCTTTCTCTACTCTGGGCACTTAATTTCTTTCTAAAAATATTGTTTGTGAGAGATTGGAGTACCTGATTTGCGAGCAGGGTGTTGCGGAGTTGTCTTGGAAATTGCTTGGTTTCTTGGAGAAGAAGCCGTGAGGAGCGACGCAGAGGCAGTAACTCGTGCCGAAAGTGGAATGGGTGGCGAAATTCTCTTCTTATGCTCGTAGAAACGAGTCGAAAAGACAGAAGAGGCGCGGCAACTTGATGCCTCCATTGCTATCAAGTATCAAGTATCAAGACAGTAAAAGCAGAGTGTCAGCGAAAGATAACCGGTCTGGCCATCCGGATTGAAGTGTGAAGTGTGAACTGTACTTCGGGACTTATTGAACCGAAAAATGATAACCGGTCTGGCCGTCCTGGGTTACTAGTAGTAGTATGAACCATATTTTCTGTGTGTATCATTTTCATTATCCCTTACCTCAAAGCTAAGGACTTCTATACTAGCTTTAGTAATTAGTATTTGAGAAAAAAGATAAAAGGTTTAAATCTGTACAGTCAAATCAGTCGAGTTAAATTGACTAGTCAATTGAGCTATTATTATTGTAATTTCTAAAGTCATCTGTAAATATAAATATATAAATATATATATATATATATATATATATATATATATATATATATATATATATATATCTACTATACTAATAAGAGCCCAAGAGAGTTAGTCCTATAATGGGTAGAAAAAATGGCGGTTAAATTTTTTAATCAAATGAATGGCTCAGATTGATCATATTTTAATTTTTCCTTAAGATTTCCTAATTTATTCTTAATGAATATGATTTTCCGTTAACTTTTCCGTTAAATATTATCTTTTCCGTTAATTTCTGTTAGTTTACCGTTAACTTACTCATTGATTTCAATAAGAAAGGTCTTAGGTTCGAACCTCATCCCAATCAAAGTTGACATAATTAGTACTCTATTTTACTCTTATTAAATTATCTACTATATATATATATATATATATATAATATATATATATATATATATAATATATATATATAATATAATATATATAATATATATATATATATATATATATATATATATATAATATATATATATATTTTTATTATATATATTATATATATATATATATATATATATATATATATATATATATATATATATATATATATATATATATATATATATATATATATATATATATATATATATATATATATCTACTATCTACTATACTAATAAGAGTCCAAGAGAGTTAGGCCTATAATGGGTAGAAAAAATGGCGGTCACAGATTTTAATCAAATGAATGATTTAGATTGATTAAAAGATTCATCAGATTTAAATTTTACATTAAAATTTCCTAAAATACCCACACACCGTTACTAATTCCGTTAAAATTTTAAGAATTGCCGTTAGTTCACCGTTAACTTACTCATTGATTTCAATAAAAAAAAAAAAGGTCTTAGGTTCGAACCTCATCCCAATCAAAGTTGGCATAATTAGTACTCTATTTTACTCTTATTAAATTATATAAATAATAATTTAGTAGTTACAACAAAAAATAATACATATAAATTTCTTTAATTTAGAATTATGTGTCCACAATGTCTTTATTTAAAAAAAATATTCATTATCAATAAATTAAATAAGATAAATAATTTTATTAGTTATATTGTCTTTATTTTTCTTCAATATAAAAATTCTTTATATTCAAATTTATTAATTGATTATATTCGCTACATTGTCCTTACAATGTCTTTATTCAGTGAAAAAAATTATTAATTATCAATAAATTTATTAAAAGAAATATTTTCATTAGTTATATTGTCTTTATTTTTCTCAAATGTAAAAATTTTTACATTCAAGTTCATCAATTGATTATATTCACTACATTATCTATTATCTTTTTTGTGCACTATTTTTCTAATTAAATATCAAAGTTATAACATAAAATAATGCTATATATTTATTTACCAAGTATTTTATTAATACCATAAAAAAATTAAAAAAAATATAATTAATAAAGCCAACCATATTAACTACTTGAGAAATTTTGTGACAAAGAGAGTATTCAAATCACACAACAAATTGAAGTGAGAACTACCTCGCAATGTCCTTGCTTGACAATCAGGAGTTAGCGGTTAGCGTTAGCGGATTATACTAGCAGATTTGACCAGCGAATTTATTTAATTATTAACATTGGGTAGAAAAAATGACCGCCAAATTATTAAATCAAATGAATGGTTCATATTGTTCAGATTTTAATTTTTTTCTTTTACGATTTTCTAATTTATCCTTAATTATATGATTATCCATTTAACTTTTCCGTTAATTCACCGTTAGTCTAATTCTAATATTAAAGTCTAATATAGAATTATAACTACACCATTAATCTAATTCTATTATTAAAGTTTTAATAGAACTTAACCACAAATCCTAATGTCGGAATCTCCTCAAACAATATTAGTATATATTTAATATTTTATGCCCTAATTTTTATTTGTTCTCCCTTATGTCCCGTATTTGGTTTCGACCATACCTATACAATTATTTTATTGACAATTATAATCAATATTGACTATATTATCTTGCATTTGTAAACTTAGAATTACCTATTTAACCCGCACGAGCTTAGCTCAATGGTTTAGTGGGTAGTATTTGGGAGAAGAGACCAAGGTTTGAACCTCGACGGCGGCAATGCGGGAATTATGTCAAAAGTGGGCAGATTCCTTGTGCGTATCAGCATTTGACCCTGTCTGCTGAACCATTGAGTCACCGTGATTTACAACTTCCCACAATGCTCTGTCGGGTCGTAGTATAGGGGGCCCTTGGGGTTGGGGACTCAACCTTTGGGAGAAGAATTACTTATTTAAATACGCAAATTCAACCTTCAATTATCTATGCATGAACAATTTCAATATAATCTTGCCTTAATATACTTTAAAGTACTTATTTTAAAAAAATCATTGGGCATTATCCCAATCGCGCAATGCGCGTAAAAAACTAGTATACTAATAAGAGCCCAAGAGAGTTAGGCCTATAATGGGTAGAAAAAATGACGGTTAAATTTTTTAATCAAATGAATGGCTCAGATTGATCATATTTTAATTTTTCCTTAAGATTTCCTAATTTATCCTTAATGAATATGATTTTCCGTTAAATATTATCTTTTCCGTTAATTTCTGTTAGTTTACCGTTAACTTATTCATTGATTTCAATAAGAAAGGTCTTAGGTTCGAACCTCATCCCAATCAAAGTTGACATAATTAGTACTCTATTTTACTCTTATTAAATTATAAATACTCCGTAATAATTTAGTAGCTACAACAAAAAATAATACATATACATTCTTTAATTTAGAATTATGTGTCTACAATGTCTTTATTCAAAAAAAAATTATTCATTATCTATAAATTAAATAACAGAAATTATTTTTCAAAAAAAAATAACAGAAATAATTTCATTAGTTATATTGTATTTATTTTTCTCTAATATAGAAATTTTTTACATTCAAATTCATCAATTACTCTATTTTACTCTTATTAAATTACATAATAATTACTTTCAAAAAAAAAATTACATAATAATTTAGTAGCTACAACAAAAAAATAATACATATGCATTTCTTTAATTTAGAATTATATGACTACAATGTCTTTATTCAAAAAAAAATTATTCATTATTAATAAATTAAAGAAGAGAAATAATTTCATTAGTTATATTGTATTTATTTTTTTTCAATATAAAAATTCTTTACATTCAAATTCATCAATTGATTATATTCGCTACATTGTCCCTACAATGTCTTTATTAAAAAAAAAAAAAGTATTCATTATCAATAAATTAATTAAGAGAAATAATTTTATTAGTTATATTGTCTTTATATTTCTCCAATGTAAAAATTCTTTACTTCAAATTCATCAATTGATTATATTCACAACATTGTCTATTATCTTTTTTTGTGCACTATTTTTTTAATTAAATATTAAAATTATAATACAAAATAATGCTATATATTTATTTACCAAGTATTTTATTAATACCATGAAAAAATTAAAAAAATATAATTAATAAAGCCAATCATATTAACTATTTGAGAGATTTGTTGACAAAGAGAGTATTCAAATCACACAACAAATTAAAGTGAGAATTACCTCGCAATGTCCTTGTTTGACAATCAGCAGTTAGCGGTTAGCGTTAGCGGATTATATTAGCGAATTTGACCAGCGAATTATATCAACGGTTGGTAAAAAGATATTTGAAAAAATTAGTTGTTTAGATTAACATGTAAAATGACCTAAGGGTATACATATATTTAATAATAATAATAATAATAATAATAATAATAATAATAATAATAATAATAATAATAATAATTGTTTAAAAATAAATAAATAAATAAATAAATAAATATATATATATATATATATATATATATTTATATATATATATATATATATATATATATATATATATATATATATATATATATATATATATATTGGATCCGGTGCACACCCCCTTGGCAGATGAGCTTGTGAGCACCTTTTCTGACCCTTAATTAGTTTAGATGAATGGTCCAGATGATTTGGGCTTTTTTGCCACGTGCATCAGATTTAAGAGGACATTAGGGCTTGTTTTATAATTTTCGCAATGACTTTAATTATACCGTGTATTTAATTTCGCCTAGGAAATCTGCGTCTCTTTTGACCTTCTTTCAACACTTCGTCTTCTGCGCATTTCTCTTCCAGCCATAGTCCAACTCCCTCTCACTTTCTCCCTCTCCGTGAGTATTTTCGACCTCCATCACTTTCTCCCTCTCCATCACAACTCTCGCGTTCAACATGGTTGGGTCTACTGTCCGCCGATCGAAGAGGCAACGAAGGTCTAACGGTGGTTCCATTGAAGGTAATCTCAATCCCCCTTATTTATGTTGATTCGTTTTTTCTATCTAGGGTGTGTGGGGTTTTTTTGCTACTGTTTTTTTCCGTTTCGGGGGGTTTTGGGTGTGCGTTCTGTGAGATTTTAGTGTCTGTGGTGGTCGGTGCATGGGCGGTGTTTGGGCCGCCGGGTCTGGGAGGCGGGCTGGGAGGGGGAACTGGGTAGTTAGGGTTTAGGGTTTGGGTTATGATTTAGGTTTTTTTTTTTTTTTTTTTTTTTTGATTAATCATATGTTATTCTAACAATGGGGGGGGGGGGGGGGGGGGGGGGTTTGGGGGTTTTTGTGGTTCTGTAGTCAAGTAATTCTAATGGGGATGTTAGGGGTGTGTTGAATGTGTGTGATGGTGGTGATTTACCATGGACATTTCATGGTAGTCCTAAGAAACATAAAAACATACAGACAAACAATAATGCAAATGATCAATAATACAAATTAAATTTCAGTCATTTTGGTTCAACATCAAATGAAATGAAATGCATATATGCTTACATCTTTTCTTGGATTTTGGTTGTGAATCTCAATCTTGATTGGAGTCCCAGTGGTAAGTCCTGCACATCGATCAGATAATAATATCCACACAACCCAGCCAGTGAATCAAATTCTTCTTCTTATTATTTTTTAATGAAAAAATGTGTATGAATGATCTGTTAATTACCATCAACAACGCCGGATGAAATTTGGCATGTATCCTGCTCTTGCCTAGGGGTTATAATCTGGTTTTGCCCTGGCTTCCTGAAAAATAGACTAATTATACTTTTTTTTTCTTCTAAATTTCAAGAATATAATTGGATTTTTTTTTTTTTAGTTCGACCACCTAACTGTAATTTTTTAAATAGTTCAAGAGCTTAATTTATCATCATTATTCATTTTATATTTGTAATAAACAACATTTCTATTTGCAGTGTTTTTTAGAAGTAAAATTCAATTCTAATTGTATCATATAATATACATTATCTTAATTCAATGAGTTCTATTATGAATACTCACATGCATTTTACTCTTTGATGTAACAAGAGATTATATTATTGGTTCATAGTAGTAGACAACTTAACTTTTTTTTTTTTTTTTATGGTTTTGTGTTTCCATTTTTTTTGTGATGGGGGTGGTGGGCTACTGGTTTTGGGGTTTTTTTTTTTTTTTTTTTTTTTTTTATATATATATTATGCTGAGGTTAGATTTTTGCCGGTAAAATAGTTCAAATTGTTTTTTCAAGTATCCTATGTGCGTAGGGGTTAGACAGTGAATGCAGTACAGTGTAAACATGACGTAGCTTTAATTAGTATGGATTTGTGCGTAATGGGTTCGATTTGTGTTTGTTTCGTAATGGGGTTTTTTTTTTCAATGAGGTTGGATTCTTGCTGGTAATGTAGCTTGCTGTTTTTTTTTTAAATTTTTTTTTTATTTTTTTTACAAGTATGCTATGTGCGTATGGGGTAGGAGGTTAATGCATTATAGTATTTGTAATGTACTGAAAATATTGTTTGGGTATTTGTTGGTATTACTGTGTATATCTTTTTTTTTTTCCCCAATTTCGCTATGTGCGTAGGGGGTAGAGGTGAATGCAGTATAGTATACACTTGTTGTAGCTTTATTTACTATGGGTTTGTGCGTACATAGTCTGTGATTAGTGTATTTTTTTTTTGTGGGGGGTAGGGAGTTGGTGGTCATGCAAAAAGTGTATTCAAATCACACAACAAATTGAAGTGGGAAACTAACTCGCAATGTCCTTGTTTGGCAATCAGCAGTTTGCTCTTCAATATTAGTATATATTTAATATTTTATGCCCTAATTTTTATTTGCTCCCCTTATGTCCCGTATTTGGTTTCAACCATACCTATACAATTATTTTATTGACAATTATAATCAATCTTGATTATATTATCTTGCATTTGTAAACTTAGAATTACCTATTTAAATACGTAAATTCAACATTCAATTATCTATGCATGAACAGTACAATTCCAATATAATCTTGCATTGATATACTTTAAAGTACTTATTTAAAAAAAAAAAAATTGGGCATTATCCCAATCGCGCAATGTGCGTAAAAACTAATATATATATATATATATATATATATATATATATATATAATATATATATATATATATTATATATATATATATATATATATATATATATATATATATATATTATATATATATATATATATATTACAATACATTTAGTAACTAGTATTTGAAAAAAAAAAAAAATTAAGGTTTGAATCTAGAAAATGAAATTACCCGCCTAGCACAATTTTTTTTTTTTTGTTTTTTTTTTTTGTTTTTTAAGATTTTCGCCTAGGTAGCTTAAGCACTAAGTGAGTCAGTGGCACCCGACTAGTGCCTATCGTATTTTGTAACCTTAGGCAAGCTACAATGTAGTGATAGAAGCCCGAGGTCTTGCCATTCATTGTCACTAGGCAAGCTCGGTGTGGTCTAGCTACAATTGTCTGAGCCTTACCCAAGTCTGTCTAGTGCTACATCGACCAACTAAACACTGGCGAATATCCAGTCGATTGGTATGAGGCGCGAGGCAACCCTCATACTAGTGCCACCTTTGGCAGCAGGTAGTCATCAACATCGATTCGTTGAGGTCTACGTAAATTGACTCTATTCCCCTTCCCTATACTTTTACCTTACCTCACCTTGGCCCTAAGACTTTCTTCCCTTCCTCACTTTGTACCCCATTCCTCATGTCTTTGTGCATTGACAAGCTATACTTTATGCATTGTCACACTTGTACCCTGAAATTCCCTCCCCTTTCCTTTTCACCTTAAATTTATGTTTCTTCGCATTTTGACCTCGAAGTTCATGATCTACCTCGCCCTTTGACCATCGAGCTTCGTCCCTAGGCCCTGACCCGAGCCCCACCAAATATTAATGATCACTGGGCCTTGACCCGAGCCCCACAAAATATTATTCACATAAACTTAAATAGTAAATAAAAAAAAGAGTTAATACCCAAAATAGTCCCTCGACTATGTCGTAATTACCAATTTAGTCCTCGACTATCATTCTTACCCAATTAAGTCCTCAACTATACAATTTTTACCCAATTTAGTCCTTTGACAATTTGACTGTTTGTTGACTGTCAAAAGTGGAAATAATGTTGTAATTTTACAAGTTTTCTCCTTCCTCCTCATTTAGCAGCGCCAAACCATGTAGCAATAAGCTCCGGTTGGGTTCTAAACTTGTCAGTATCGAAGTAGTGGTTATGCACCGGATAGCCCATGAATTTGATTTCCAACGATTTTTTGACGATCGAAATCTGATCGGAGTGTATTGCTGCATGGTTTGGCGCTGCTAAAGGGAGAGGAAGGAGAAATCTTGTAAAATTATAATTTTATCCCGACTTTTGACAGTCAACAAACAGTCAAATTAATACAGATGACTAAATTGGGTAAGAATTGTATAGTTGAGGACTAAATTGGGTAAGAATTGTATAGTTGAGGACTTAATTGAGTAAAAGTTACATAGTTGAGGACTTAATTGGATAAGAATGGTAGTTGAGGACCAAATTGGTAATTATGGCATAGTTGAGGGACCATTTTGGGTATTAACTCTAAAAAAATGTTAGACATCACGTAAAATGTCATGTCAGAAAATGATCATTTGTCCACATCAATTTGAATTGATGCCCAAATTAATATTAACTTAATATTTACGTATTATATAAGATACAAATTGCATTTTTTTTTGAAAATCACAACTTCAAACTTTTATTATATCAAATAATCAATACAAAAGGAACAGAATCAATTCAAATATTGAGACCAGTAGACAACTACTAGCTCTAACCATGGCATGAGCCAAACAATTTACTGATCTAGGAATAAAAGTAATGAATAATATTTTAAAGTGTCGTTTTAGAGAGCGGTATTGACTATTGACGGATTACACATCCCGTACTAGAGTAGTTCAGTGCCGTACCATTGATAGCATTACACATCGTTTGAAATTTTTTTGAATTTGAAGACATAATTATAATTAAAATGTTTGACACTTATTTAATTCTCATATTCTATTTTTTTAAGTATACATTATTTATTATTTTTTTAAAACACTCATGATTCTCAATAAGGTAGTATTTGTTCTAAACACTTTCTCAATTATTTTCAAGCCTAAAGAAATAATGTTCCACCATCAAAATTTAATCTTGTGACTACTATTTAAAATAGTAACAGATGTATCATCACACTACATAGTAGTTGTACATTATTTATTTATGTACCATAATAAATCCTCAAATACTCCGTACATTTTTGTGCAAGTAAAGGACAATTTGACCCTTGTGGCCTTGTTTATTTTTCCATTTAAGCCATAATTTGACTAGTCAGATGCGACGGCGGTGGGAGAAGAAAGGAATTTCCAGTTACAGAAATGGAAACGTCCCCTGCCCCGGTGGGCCGTGGGAATGCAGGAGGCGTTACATAATTCTCTGTTTCCATACTTCCGTGGGGACATCCAAACTCAACTTCTCCTTCTCCCTCCCTCCTACGTTACATTATACTCTCAACTCTCTATATACGCATACAGAGTACTATATTTATATTCCCAGCTAACATTAACATATTCCCTTTCTCTTCCTCTACGCACAACTCATTTTGTCCAACAAATATCTCTTTGCCGGATTCATGTCGGTATGTTTTTTAACTAAATCCCTAGATTTTTGTTGCCTGCTTTTTTGCTCTCTACTTTTCTTATCTCCTTCTGTATCGATGTGTTCCACTAGTTATGATTGTTGAATTTTTTATTTTTTTTTTGGTTTCCGTGATTTGATCGATTGCGATTCCGCGGTAGTTGGCTGAGTTCGGGGCTAAATCGAGCAATGCTTGATTATATCATCGGCACCAATTTGTTGTAGTGATCAGATGCAAGTCTTTATGTCTCGTATTGAATTCAATAGTTTTCCTTAGTTCTTAGTGAGGATAGATTATGATTCAATCCACCATTTATGTTTTTACTTTTTGTGTATTGATGCTGCTGTGGAGATTGTAGGGTCAATGATAAAGCATTCAACTAGTTTCCTTCTATGCTGCTGTTTTACTCGTTTCTCCTACTTAACCCAGTACTTCTGTATGTTTCAATAGTTTGGGAAATGGGTATTTAACCTTAGACCTTCCTATCTTATGTGAAAGGACTTATCTAGCTATATTACAAGGTCTTGCCTCAGTGGGTCTGGGATAAAGCATTAAACTTTTCCCATCTATGTTACTACTAAAGTATGTGCCTATTTCACCTGCCTGATCAAATGCCTTTGTATTACATTATGAGAGTGTCCTGTTTTGCTTGAGTTTACAAAAAGTTAATTACTTTTAACTAATTGGATGATACATTCCTGAGAAGGGTTATACTCATTACCTCTTTTTGTGTAACTCTGTTTAAGTGGAGTTTGATGTTGGGATGATGGTTTTAGTTGGGTAGGCTTATGTGATATGACTGATTTTAGTTACTACCAGAAAATTTCCTTTTGTATTCTTCTTGTTGTGTTTCTTTTTCTTTTCAATTCACTTTGTCAAATTTAGAATTTCATAGTAAAAGATTTCACAGATGATGAGCTTATTAAATTCTTGCATCTTTACCCGTTCCTCTTCTAGTTTCAGTGATGTGTTAAAAGATGAGATTCATGTCTGGTTTCATTAAAGTTAAACTGTTAAAGTATCCTCTATCATTTGTTTGTATATTACAGTAAACCTTAGCAAGTTAGGAGTGGTTGGTAATCTTCTTGTCTCTACATTTTTGAGTATCCGTTGCTAATATCATGTCTGTGACTTACAACTTGATAGGAGAACGGTCGACCATTGCCCAAGTTTGGTGAATGGGATGTTAATGACCCAGCTTCAGCAGAGGGGTTTACTGTGATCTTTAATAAGGCCAGAGATGAGAAGAAAACAGGTGGCCAGCCAGAATCACCAACAAAGACAGATGCTCATACTAAGCATGCTGCAGATCAATCAAAACCTCCAGCTGTAAGTTGCTTTCTCATTTGTCAGTTGTACGAGGTTCTTTGTTGTGATAGGATTATGGATAAAAGTTTTAGGTCAATTTTCTGTTTCTTTACCTGAGATCTTACACCTGATCTTTTAACATGCTTTGATGCCCTTCGTTTCTTCACATTCCCGTCTTGTATTAACAGATTGTTGACAGTTTCCTTTCAGGTTTAGCATCACCCAAGAGTTTCTATGTATTCTAAGTTATGGTTGTCATAAGAAATTTCTATGCCAGTTATAAATATTCCTGTGAATAACCTACACTTTTTGGGATCTGTGTTATAGCTTGCTCATCAGTCATTACTGGCGATGATTAGTGTTGCCTAGCCGTGAGCAATTTCCCGATGTGCTCTTATCGTCTTTCTGGAGTACCTTTTCTTTATTCTAATATCAACAATGTTTCATTTCACAGAAAAAATGGTGTTGCTGCATGCAAAGCCCACATGCAGAATCTTAACAAGGCTCTGCAAAGTTGAATTCAGAATGAATGTTCATAATTATCCCCACGTATTTTGCATGTGGGGAGGAGCTGAAGGCACTCTTGGGTTTCTCTGGAACCTACTTTGTCCTGTAAAATTGTATTAGGGTTGGGGTATACCGTATAAGATTTGGTGAAGACAATTTTTTATTTTTGTGTATCTATGAAATTGTATCTGGTATTTCATAGAAACTTATCATTTTCATTTATCAATGATTTGTACTTTGTAGAGCATCTTTCTGAAGATCATTAGGTTTTTTAGGTGTCAAAAGCACTTTTACTCTCTATGATATAGTATTGATTTGTAAATTGTCTTTTGGTTACAAATGTTTTTGTTGTCCTATTTTAATTATTATGTAAAAATTAGTTAAAATTCTTTTACTTTTGATTCCTACCAGCTTCATTTTGTGCCAACATACAGATCCATAGTAGAATGTGTGAGGATTGCGGCAGGTAAATAGAGGATAGATTTGGAGAATCCTATGATAAATTATTTTTGTTATACAACATATCAAGGCCTAACTTCCTAATTAAATTAATGAAAACAGTTCTCATTTTGGCTTGGTGTTGGGAAATTGTTTGTACTTGTATAAAATTTTAAAAAAAAATATTTGTTTGGACTTTCTTCATCAGATTGGCCAAAGACTAAACTCTGGACTGCCCCAGCTTCCGCTCAAACAAATGCTTCAGGAGATAAACTTGCAGAATACTAGCAGCAACAAGAGCTAGAGACTCGCAAAAAGCTTTGTAGATTGCTCTTCTGCCCATTCCTTCATTTACTGCATCCAAACACATTATGTTATCGGATATCGAAGAAGATGAAAAATAAGCGCATAATGACATGAACACTTGGATTGTCATCTGGAAATAGTGTAATCACATTGGCAAACAAACACATCAAATCACACATTGGTACAGGCACAGTACTGCTTCTACAAGAGATCGAGTTTCAAACGGAAGAACTGATATGCGGATGCCTGATACTATCAAAAATTGATGTTCATGCATTGAGCAGTTCACCAGCATCCACAACAACAGATGTCAAACAGTATTAAGTGAGAATTTTAAGCTACCAGAGTACCAGACTCCCATGCACAGATAGATAAACCCAATCAACCTTCAATAGTAACAAAGTTATATAGCCCCCGGGGAATAGCTTAGTGGTGAAAGCCCGAGTGTGGCTGTGGTGGCCAGCAAATGCCCGGGTTTGGACCCTGCAAGGGGTAAGATCCTCGGAAATAAACAAGCACTCAGATCATTGCGCTACTGAGGCACATCCCGCGATTTACCTCCTCTCACAAGCTCTCTAGGGCAAGGGACGTGAGGGGCCCTTCGGTTTGGGGTTCAAACTTAAAGTTATATACAAGGTTCCAAGTTTGACTCTCAGTGGAAGCAGACAGGATACTGGCCTTCTTGGTTTGAGCTTGTCAGCTATGGGCAACTTAGGCTGGATTACCTGCTTGTGGTCCTTTGCCAACTAGGGCCACAAGGCGGGGTTTACCTAGTGCACACACTCAGGTAGTTGCTGTGGGTTTCCCTCGTCATTATGGTGGAAGAAGAAAATACTTACAGATAAAAGAGAGGGGGATGAAGCTAAACCATCATTATGGATGGAAACAACAGAGTAGTTTAAGCAGTAAAAAACTATCAAAGCAATTGTTCACGTTCCATATAATACCTATTGCTTGCCGGTCTGTCTGAGCCTCCAACCAGTGTTGCTCAAACTGAATGTTATACAAAGCCTCCTCAAGCTTTCCAATGTGTTCAAACAAAGGCGTCAAATGTTCTGCGCGCACCATACCACCAAGGGTCACAATTTAGAAGACTTCAAAAGAATACAGTTAAGTCCGGTGACCACAAAACCTCAGAAGCATTCTTACCATCTTTAGCATGCTCATCATGGTACATAAAGTGGCCAGCATGCAAATCGAAGTCTATGGTTTCATGATATGGGGACTTGTTAGTGAAGCAGAAACGATGAATACCATCATGATGGGCAATAAACTCAGATTTCTCGCTTGTTTTATCACGGAAGTCTTGAATTTGTTCACCAGACGGCCCTTTCACCTGATAATTCCCACACAACAATATTAACAACAATTTAAATTCGGGAGTTAAACATAGAACCACAAATTGCAACCAGATTATCTAAGAAATATATTCAAGATTGAAACTTTCTGCCTTTCTTCATCACATATAACCTCACAATAACAGGTCTGGATTTCCTAAGCCCTATTTTCTTAGCATAATGAAAACTAATTATGCCTAGACATAGAGTAAATTCATACAGATATGCCTAATACCCAAAGTGATAATTGAACAATCCCAGTTGATGGTAACAGTAGACAACATTAATCCGATATCCAAGAACTAAACTAATTAGACAAAATAAAGAAACCTCGAAATGGAAATTTTGCAAAAAGGAGAGTAGATTAATGAATACCACAAGATCAACACCCTCTTCACTGTAATGCCAAGAATTCTCGGATTTAATAACCACGAACGAGAAATGCACAGTTTCCCCCAATTCCACCTTGTGCGAAAAGCACTCCTCTCTGTCTATGACGAATCTGATCCCGTAGGCTCCTCCGGCGCTCCAAACCAGCAGCGCCGCAGCCACGGCGACCCAGAACTCCGACGAGAGCATTCTGACCTGCAATTCCCGTAATTCGTTTCGTTCCCAAGAAACCAACGAAAACAAGATTGAAGATTTGAAACGCTTACCATTTCGGATTCTCGGACAGCAAAAGACGAGTTGAATTCTAGAAACCGATGGGTTTGACGAAGTTAAGGCCGACCAAGTTACAGACTTTACGAAACCGAGCGGAACTGTTTTAACCTCTCTTTGAAATGGTTGTACACTTGTACTTCGCGTCTTCCTAAACTACGTGGCAACGTTGGATTGGTAGAATACTCTTTTTATGTTGTCAATATTCAATAATCTTAATTAGTACTCCGTAGGCCGTAGCTTTCAAAAAAAAAAAAAAAAAAAAAAAAAACAAATCCTAATTAGTTGACATCATATTTTAATCCTATTCGGCATTCAAAAGATTGTTAAGACTATTAATACTGATAAATTCTTTTACACAATCAATATGGAAAAGCTCTCTAGCCAGCGATCGAAAGAGGATCTCGATCTCCTTGAGCGAAGCACAAAGAAACCCAAACACACTGGCGACGGGGGAATGAGTCATTCATCGGCAACGATGGAGGAGGGGGGACATCAGTAGGATGTAGAGGTCGTAAACGAGACGCCGATGGAGGAGCTCGTGGGTGTTGAGGAGACAACGTACATGCAGGTAACGTGTGAAACGATCCCAGAGACACCGCTAATGCCACCTGCTTCGTTGCAGGTACCGACGTTGCCTCCGCGTACGTACGCTGAAAGTTTGACTGGCCAAAGAGGCCAGGCATCTCCACACGCCATGGCTCATGCAGAGAAGATCCAGGTGGCCGGATGTGTCTGACGATGAAGATGACGACCCTTTGTGTCCAACGATCCGGTTGACGAGCGAGGAGGTGGATGCGATCCGAGCGCCATGGAGAAAAGCTCTCATCATCAAGGTGATGGGCAGGAAAGTAGGATACACGTACCTTTTGCGGAGGCTTCATTCTATGTGGAAGTCGAAAGGCAGCCTGGATTTAACCGCCATCGACAACGATTATTTTTTTGTTCGCTTTGGATCAGTGGGTGATCTGGAATTTGCGATGTTTGAAGGGCCCTGGATGATCTTGGAGCACTATTTGATCGTGAAACCTTGGGTGCCTGATTTTGATCCCAAATCGGATGCTACGGAGAAGATCCTAGTTTGGGTGAGAATCCCGTGCATACCTGCGGAGTACTACAATATTATATTTCTCAGGAAGTTGGGTAACAAGATTGGCAGGACGATTCGCGTCGATCAAGCTACAAGTTTGGTGTCACGAGGGATGTTCGCTAGAATCTGTATTGAAGTTGATATCACAAGACCGCTTATCTCCAAATTCAAATATAAGGAACATGTGAGGTCTGTCGCCTATGAGGGCATCCACATGGTATGTTTTTCATGTGGTATTTATGGCCATTCACCGGACGCATGCCCTACGCTAAACAAAGCAGTGCCTGAACCGAAAAAGGTGGTGGATGATCAACGGGATCACGTTAGGAACGCACCCTTTGGTGCGTGGATGATCGCGCTGGGGAGGAGATGTTGGAAATTTTGGCTAAAAATGGCATTTTGAGTGATTATTTTGTGGTACAAATATATGTGGGTCCACTTCCAATTTGGGTCGGGTCAAAGTGGATTCGGATTCTTCGTAGTGAGACGAAGAATTTGATATAATGTATGCTCAAAATGGGTAATAGGTGAATGAGAAATTGATTCTCAAAGTGAACCTATTTGAGAGAAGTCAAAAACTTAAGTTTAAATGCTAATTGGAAATTAGCATTTTAATAACTTTCGTTTGCACGAAAGTTGGTTGGAAGCTTAAGTGTAATTAAGCTTGAAAAGCTTAGTTGAATTGGGAGTAGTGGAGCTCCTTTCGTGCTTAGCATTCAGTGCTACACGAAAGTTGTGTAATTAAGCTTTGGGAGCTTAATTTGAGAAATGGAACTAAAGCTTAATTAGTGAATTGAGTTATGAGTTCATTTCGTGTGAGCTCCTTTCGTGCTGTGGATTCGGTGTGCACGAATCAAATGCTATATGCATTGATTCGTGCTGCACCGTTTCGGTGCGTGTGGACCACTCGGGTGTGATTTTCAATCCCAATTCGTTAAACCTTCGGGTTTGTACGGACTTCTCGGTCACTCAGATATTTTGAAACGGGTCGTTGTGGTCGGTACGAATTAATCGCGTATTAAGTTCGTGACCGTTGGAATTATTACGATAATAATTACGACCGTTTCAAACGTTATTATCCAATAATTAAATCGTGGATTTATGTTGGTTTAATATGCCATTTAGTGGGCTACTAACTCCTCTCTCCCCTATAAAAACCTATGTGTTGGGTAGAATGTTTTGTCCAAATTTTTGAACTTGAAAAATCATATTTTTCTCTCATCTTCTCTCAAAAGTTGTTTCTTGCAAAGAGATTCTACCAACACTTCCGTAAAACGTCGGAGTGCTTAACTTGTGTTCTAGTTCGCCGGGCTTTGGGTTGGAGTGCTCGAACGCCAAAGTCGTAGTCCGTTTTATCCTGAGAGACTGACGCCACAACGATCCTAGCACCCTCGGGAGGTGGCGAATCGGTTTTAAGGAGAGTGTGTGTACACACGACTCGGGCTTCCTCTGCTTCTTCTCTCTTCTCGTTGGGTTAAAACCTCAGGTTAGAAACCCGTATCTTGTTTTTATTTTTTGTTCTTGGTTTCGGACCAAGTGGTAGGATTAATCTCGGATAGATTAAATCCTTGTACTAGTTTCGTACTAGTTGTGGTGGGATTAATTTCGTGGAAATTAAGTCCCGTATACTAGTTTCGTACTAGTTGTGGTGGGATTATTTTGATAAAATAAATCCCCAGTTGGTTAATATATATACGAGGTATATATATATGTAATTTTGGTTCATTTTCTATAAATTAAATTCCATTTTTCGGGACAAATACATATTTTATATATATTCTGTGTATCGATTTATTCACCAATTTCCAACAGGAGATCACGGAACAATTCTAGACCCTCGGAGAGGCCTCAACGGGGAACACAGGATCGACGACAGGTAAGCAGCGTCGATCGTGAGAAGGGTGTGCAGACAACTAGGTTTGCTCCTTTAGCTGAGCAGGGTGGCGAAGGCGATAATAATACGGATGCGCTGGTGGACGCTGATCTTGGGCGGACCTGTACAGCTGAACGCGGTGACACCTCGACAGAACGCTTAGGGAGATCACAAGGTCTATCAGCCCCGGGAGGAAGAGCGCGAAGGCCGAATGTTATAGCAATTGAGAAGCAAATTATTAACGAGCCTATAGAAAGGGGAGGAACGCAGTATAGAGCAGGTGATGCATCGGCTTCTAGAAGGGCGGTGGTGGAGGGGGATTTCGCAGTGAGAAACCAGGCGACGGCACATGCACAGGGCGGTGATCAACGACAAAGAGGGGGGTTTAGGAGGGCGGCTGAAGAGGAGGAACATGTGGTAGTACGGGGGTCGCGGGGAGGTGATCAAACACGCACAACGGTGAGCTGCAGAGCCGTAGGGGCAGGCAGCTCGTCTCTTGATCTGGAGCGGCTAGGAGAGCACCATTCCGACGATCCAAGCGCTCTTGATGAAGATGGAGATGCCGTAATGGAAATGGAGGAAGTGCCCGGTGAACCGCCCGGAACGGGCATAGGGAGACACGCTTAGTTTTGGCCTTTTTCGTATCTTTGTTTTGTGCTTTCGTGTTTCTTTGTTGCTTCTTTTTTTTTTTTTTTCTGTCTGTTTTTATGATTGGGTTGATTTGGAACTGTCAGGGCGCTGAAGGGCGAGGCTTTCAACGTGTCTTGAAAACTCTCATTAAATCTCACCGACCGAATTTAATTGGATTGGTGGAACCGCAAGTATCGGGGGATCAAGCCAACACAATCTGCTCAAAGCTCGGATTTGATGAATGGGTCCGAGTAGAGGGCAATCGGTTTTAGCGGCGGGATCTGGGTACTATGGAATAAACCTATAGAGATAGTTGTGGTATACACTCACCCTCAGTTTATTTTGCTGCAGGTCTAGGAGAACGGTGGGGCGCCATGGAACTTTGTTGTTGTTTATGCAAGCCCAACGCAAAAACTACGCCGGCGTCTTTGGAGTGAGCTGCAAGCAACCAAGCGGTATATCGTTTACCCCTGGCTAGCAGCGGGGGACTTCAACGCAGTCACATGTCGAGAATAAACTCTCAACTATACCGCGTACTCCTCGCATAGAAGTGATGAGTTCGTGGATTGGATCCACGAAGAAGGGCTGGTGGACATGGGCTTTGTAGGCCCACGTATGACTTGGGTACGAGAAAATTAGCCTAAGCAAGCTACATGTGTTTTTCTCCAATAACACAAGTACGAATGTTGCAAAACAGATTTCTGATGCCTTGAATATCAAGGCCACGACGGATTTAGGCAGGTACTTGGGAGTTCCAACGATGCATGGACGAGTTACACAAGCTACTTTTTCTGGGCTTCTTGACCGCGTGACAGCAAGACTGGAAGGGTGGCGTAGCAAGCTTTTGACCTTTGCCGGCAGAGTCACTTTGGCGAGGTCTGTCCTGGGTGTTATACCAACGTACACAATGCAGACTACGTATATGCCAAAAGGTGTGTGCAAGAAGATTGAGATGATCACTCGACGCTTCGTTTGGGGCGGAAATGAGGAGTCGCGCAAGATCAGTTTGGTCAATTGGGAGACAGTGACAAAATCCAGGGTTGCAGGGGGTTTAGGCATACGCAGACTCCAATACTTCAATACGGCTTTCATGGAAAAACTCGGATGGAGATTTCTCACGGAGCGGGAAAATTTGTGGGTTCAAGTTTTAAGAAGCAAATATGGCAACCACCAGGGTCGAGGTTTGACGACTGCTTGCAGGACTGCCTCGAATGCTTGGAGAGGAATTCGTAGTGCTTCTGGGCTCCTTGAAAGGGGTCTAACGAAAGTGGTACGCAATGGGAGGGAGACGCATTTTTGGATGGACAGGTGGGTTCGTGGCCAACGCTTGTATGATTTCATGAAGCGGGTAGTGAGTCTACTGGAGCTTTATGCCCCGGTGGCGGATTATTGGGATTCTGAGAGAGGATGGAGGTGGGATTTACTTGAGGATATTCTTGATGAGAGTTGGCGAGTGAAGCTTCATGCATATGTCTTGCTCGATGATGAAGGGGCTAGGGACGACTGGGGATGGAGGTTGGAG